AAAATGACCCGGGGCCCTCGAACCAGCGGCGTTCCGCTCCCTGCGTCTTCATGCGTTTGATCACTCAGGAAATAGGCAGGTCCATCAAACTGATGAGAGTGTTTCTGTCACCAGGGAGTGAAAGTGATACTGTGTGCGGAGGTGTGTGTGTGTGTGTGTGTGTGTGGGGGGGTGGGTGTGTGTGTGTGTCTGTGTGGGTGTGCGTGTGTCTGTGTGTGTGTGGGGGGGCTTGTGGTTTAGGGATCGATAGTGAATGTGAATGTGCTGCATCCTTCAGGCTGTTACATCCCATAGTAAGATCCCCAAAAAATGCTATTATTGATTTATTTAAAAAATAATCTACCCAAAGTAGTCTATGCCAATTCAGTGAAACAAACTAATTTGGGAAAAATTTATAGGCATATATCATTCCAGCATAAAATATCTACAGTATAAAATATATTATGAAAATATTATTCTGTGAGTGCCTCTTTCTATAAGTCCTACGTAAGCGTCTTCACAGTGTTACAGCAGAGACAAAGGGGCGGAGTCTCCTGCACAGAGTAGCCAATGACGTATCGTTACTAGACATGATAGGCAAATCTCTAATACAAGTAATCTAAGTGGCAGTGGGTTAAAGCACATCTTATGAAATGTACAAAAGCTTCAAAAATGTAAAGATACACATATTTTGGAATTAGGGTGCATTGTTGCATGTACATACCAGGCACATAAAACATATAGACAGTGGAACAACTATCTAGTGAAACAGAAAATCTACTGATTTGCAAATCATTCACCTTTACACAGAATATGTTTTGTTAATTTCCGTCTTGCAGGACCTTCTTTCAAAGAGGATGTTTGTAATATATTGTAGTAAGAACTTGCAAGTTGTTCCATCAAACGGCAGAAATGATTGTCTACACTGTCCAGCCTCTAAAATTTCACTCCCTAGAATGAATGAGGACCCATATTCAATTTTAACAACATGTGCTGTTTTTCGCAGAGATAACACTTGTTAAGCAGGGATAATATTCATTCATTCTCTTATGGCTTTTTCTGCGCACGTATGAATGGTAACTGTCCCTTGAGAAGGAACCACTAAACCTGAGAGACTGGCATGGCAGATGTTACAATCCAGATGGGAAATTACCTGACGCACCACAAAGCAACAATATTTGTGGCAAATTCAGCTTGAGATGGTGATGTCCACTGACTGTAACTGGGATCAGAAACTGATGGAGATGGAATATCAGACGACTACCAATACAAAAATACGCACTGATCAGTGAACAGACTTACACTCTGCGGTGGAAGGTTATACCAACGGAGCAGGACCCACCCCTGTGTCTGCAGCCAAAAGCTGCACGGTGTGTAGGATCGATTCGGCTTCTCCAATATGGTGGTCAAATCATTGCATCTGCATTCATGTGACGGGAGCTCTAGTAAACATGCATCACTGGGGAGCAGCTTCTCCTGAAGGACCCGAGGGGGTTTCTGCACAGCTTCCAGGAGCTGCCCTCTAACCCTCATTTGAAACTGTAAAATAACACTGTAGCTGACCCAGCCACTGCAACAAATTACCCGGCCTAAGCCAGGGCTCAGTAAACTGGATACTTTGCACATCTACATAAACAAAGCAATAATAAGAATTATTATTCAGTATGTCCTTCTCCTGACTACTTCGGGCCTTGGCTGACTGTCACCTGTCTGTTAGCCGCCTACCCTGTGACAGATCGATGGTGATTTGGTCAGTAATATGATTAAGTGTTACTGCAATTGTTTGCTTCATAAGAAGTCAATATGAATTAAATTTAAAGCCCTCTGCTGCTTCGCACCTAATCACATTTAAATTGGTAACGATTGCAGGTTTATGGAGGGATGAATTGAAGTAGTTCTGGAATAAAATGCCAATCCTCAGATATGCTGTTCATTTCATTAAAAAACAAATGATGTTTTGTAAGGCACTAGGCTTATAGTTTTATGAGTATATTAAAAACGACTTATTGAGCTGCTAAATTACCTCATATTTTATTGTATAATTTTAAGAAACATTTGTTTGTTTGAAATTATATTAATGCAAGAAATTTTATAATGATGTTTTAAAATCATCCTTTAAAAATAATTTTAGATGCACTTCCCTTTAGTTACAGACATACACAAAACATACCTAATGGAGTTTAATACCAAAAAAATAATTTATCCAGTATATTTGTAAATGTAAACATCAAATGTAAACAAATAAAATGTTATGTGTAATATTCTGGTTCTCTTTCTAAATGAAACACTTACCAGCATGTAAATGTTTCATTTTAGTCCCTGGGGGTTAAGAAATTGATTATGGGCCCAACACTGAAATCACTGAGCTGACCCTGAGATTTGAGCCAACGACCTTCTGATCAAAGGCACGGGATCCTGACCCGCTGAGGCACACAATGCCCCCCAGTGAGGTGTCTGCACAGAGGCCCTGTGCTCCCAGACTGTGCCCTAATCCCACACTGGGTCTGTGTTTATGAGTGCTCCTCGGTTGTCTGTCCTCCTGTGGCATGATCATAAAGGCAGGGAACCAAGTTAGAGAAAAGTCCAGAAGACAGTACTCAGACGTAGCACAGAGACAAAGTCGCGGACCTTGCCCTGGTATGAGGGCTGTGGACTCGCGCTCCTCCTAGTCACAGCAGGCACAGGGCTGGATATGGGGCTGGGTCTTTCCACATAGGAGGATTCTAACAACGCTGTGGAATGGGACAGTACGGACACACTTCCCTCCAAAACCAGGGTCCCCCAGGTATCTCTCTGTCAAACCATGGGATCCACTTTACATAATTAGGTCGATATCAGCCTGACTCACCCCCTAGGCCAGAGGTGCATCTTCACAAGTTTGCAGGGGTGTTTGGCAGCTTTGCCGGTGAAGAAACTTTGTTTAAAAAGAAAAAAAAAACATCCCATGGATTTTCTTATCACATTGAGAAACATGTCTCGTTAGTCAGACCTGTGACTTGCGATAACATGATGGAAACATGTCTTGTTTATCAGACCTATGGTTTCTGGTAACGTGACAGAAGGATGTCTTGTTGATCAGACCTGTGTCTTGCGGTAACGTGACAGAAGGATGTCTTGTTGATCAGACCTGTGACTTGTGGTAACGTGACGGAAGCATGTCTCGTTGGTCAGACTCCTGTATGTTTCTCCTCTCTCTGCTTCATGAAGCACACAGCTCTCTGTTTAAAGGTGCTGTTGTCAGTGCAGTTTGCTGATGAATGATCTGGTGTCTGAATGCCCTCTCTGGCCGCCTAAGCTCCTCCATGCCTGATTAAACTGACTGTGGGCTTGAAGATCAACTTTAATTAACAGTTTTGAGGAAGTTCTGGGATTCCCAGTGCTGGGACACGTCACCTACCGTTTGCGGCCCTGATCTGCCCCCACAGCGCCCCTGGAGGCTGGGGCTCGGGGTAAATGACGCATATGGTGACCTGCTGATTGATGTCATCCATTTGGTGGACTGAACATGAACCCAATAATCAGATCCGGCTTAAGCATGTTCTTCCTCAGTGTTCTTCCTTGACTCTCGCGTATTGATTAAGATGTTGATGGGTCCCAGTCCTGCTCCCGCCCTGTTGCCTTCCCCCTCGCCACTGGCCCTCGTCTAACGGATAGAGCTGTCATCCGCAAAGCCGTGAGCCTCTCACAGGAACCCAGAGTACGATTAGCCAGTCGATAATGACCATGCAGGAAGGAGCCAAGCCTGGCCGGTGCAGGAAGCGGGGTGGGGGGTGTCTGTGAGGGCAGCTCCTTGGCTGGGGGACACCGGAGTCACTGTCAGGGTGACAGCGGGGGTCTGAGACAGACAGTGCCGTTGCAAACCTTGTGTTTCTCCTGCAGCCTCCTGCATGATGCGGCTGTAACATCAGGCATCTGCTTTCTGCAGGGGACTCGTCTCCTCCGGAACCCCTCAGCACACGGGCTAGGGTCTGTGCCTGACTGGAGTTCACAGAGTGATGTCATCGCTGGGGCACTAAGTAGGGCCCTACTTTCCCAAGCATGTTGCTTTGGATAAAAGCATCTACTAAATAAGATTAAATATAAAATAAAAAGTTGTCGGTAATCTGTTTGACTTGCTGGGACACATCTGACACTGCCACCCTACTCAAAAGCAGCGAGAGGGGGTGACAGCAGAGGAGAGGGGGGCTGGGACCCACGGGGGCTTTAAGGGGCTTCTGGCAAACTCACGGGCACCTGCTGTGGGTGCGAGGGAACCCACATCTGCATCCAGCGCACAAGCGAAGGGATGGCAAATCGCAGCGATTCGATTCCTCCGAACTCTCCTTCTCAAGCCGTGCTTTTGCTTTTGGCAGAAAGCTTTACGACAGAATAGTAAAAAAATGGGAAATTAAAACATTCAAAATAAACGCACAAATAAATATGAACGTAGCACATAGGGGAGTTTTAGATCAATATCAGCTTTTAAAATAGGAAATAATGGATAGAGACGGAGACCACCCTGCTGGGGAATCAGGCAGCCTGAGAACCTGGGCACCACGCTGAGGATGGGCTCTACAAAACTCGACACAGACTTTGCTCCTTTTCATTTCATCTGTTTTGTTGCTATTGCTTGGCATATTTTTCTTCCATTTCCATTTATCTCATAAAGCGCATTTTCCCGACTAGTTCTGCTCATTATGTACATGGATGCCATGAGCAGAGCACAGAATAAACACACAGTCACCCCTTTCCATCTGCATGCCATTATATTTTATGATTTATTGTAAATATTAGCAGTGTTGCCCTTAAAATTTACAGGCCACATCATCTGCTGGTGTTTTTGTTAATAAATTTGAATATAAACACATCACATTTGAATAACTAATACTGTACTGTGGTTTTACACTGCATGTACATATCAGAATCAGCTTTATTGGCCAAATATGTTTACACGTGCACATACATGTGTGATACAGAAATATGCAGGTCGAAGTATGTATAATACATTACGTTTTAATGTCATTTGCCTATGTCTTTGTTAATATATATACATAAAGTCTGTTTATTGCCTTCAGTATTGGTTTGCCCGGACACAGCCGTGAATGCACCGCCACCTGGCAGAGGGCGTAACACCAGCACGCATCAGGTTCAGTCCCAGTGCCTCCATTCTGGCCCGAATCCGGGCTCTACAGGCTACCCAGAACACCTGAAAGACCCGGATTGGGGTGGAGATGGGAGGCGCGCGCTGGGTTCCGTGACATTCTCGTGCCGCTCGTAAAGCGGGCTGGGCCGGAGTGCTTCAACTACACGAAGCTCAACACTTTGTTTTGTGAGGAGTCAGCGCTAATCAGCACCAGCAGCTACCGCCGCTGCGAAGCCTGGACGCCTCTCAAAGGTAACAGCCGCGGCATTAAAAATTGATCACAGGGGGGCTGTTTGTCGCGCCGCGAGCTGGGGGCCGCGCTTCTGCATGCCGTGGGGGGCACGCGCGCCCGCACGCCCGCCCGCGCGCCCGCCCGTCCGTCCGTCCCGCCCGCGGCCGCCGCGGCGCGCCGGAGCTGCTGAGTGGGCAGCCCCCTTCATGTGTCTGATTTCACGGTAAACGCTCAGGCTGCTGCTCGCATCCTCCCGAATCTCGGAGCTGTAGCGCTAAACACGCCGAAGAGGGCTGCTTCTCTACATCCTCATTAAAACGGCCCCCAAGGACAGATTAACGCGCGGCTCTCACTCCGCCGACAGGCCTGCTACACCTGCCACTTCGCTCCCCCTTTTTCACTCGAGTTATGATTTAATTTACGTCAAGTTGGGCGGATGTGCTGCGTTTATCAGGACGCAAGGTGCTTCGTATGGGACCCGAGCGTCGAGGTGCTTCCCAGCCGGGCCGGGCTCTCTGTGGGTGCGGCTGTCAGCGCTCCGTTTGCGTTTATAACTTCACCCTTTGTCTCATCACTACACAGACACGAACAGTAATGTTCGGATGGAAGGAAAAGTCTCACAAAGAGCCGGAAAATGACCTCTGCTGACACCGTTACATAGCTGTGGCAGCTTCGGCCCTTTGGGGAAAATAAACTGAAACACCTTCCGAAGCTTGCAGAGGCTTAAGTGATTAATTATCTTTTTGGATTATGCTGAGGACACAATGAAGCACTAGGGATTTACAGCCTGTCTGTGGTTATTAAGATGTGTAGCATTGCTGTACTTTTATTATATGGTACAACATGGCGGGAACTCATGGAAAACTATGTCAATGAGTAGGCCTACTTTTCATGAGTACTTTACATGTAGCCTACTCTTAAGTACTTTTTATTTACTGTTAAGAGTGTCAGTGAGTCCTTTTCTTGCACTCTAGTGTGTCAGTGAATACTTTTTTTTCTGTACTGTAACGTATCAAAGAGTACTTTTTCCTTTACTGTAAAGTGTCAGTACTTATTCTGTAATCTAAAATGTGTTAGTGAGTACATGTTAATGTGAGGTGTAGCCTTGAGTACTCTGTTTTACCACACAGCACAGTGACTACGGCAGTCAATATAAGTATCTCACTCTTACACAATACTAATCATTTAGTTTTTTAGCAGTCTTGGGAATGCTGTTGATTTCATAATTCAATATTTCATTAAGTCTCTGTGTGTACATCTATGGAGGGTGTTTTGTGGCAATATCAATAATTTAAATTGTCATTTAAATGATTGTTTATAAATGTCATTTAGAGAATGTCAAAGATTATTTAAATATCGTTTACATGACTACATGTATGTTATTTAAATGATTATTTAAAGAATAATTTAAACTGCTTTTTAACCCTTGATGCAAGAAATCTTTTCATTGCTTCATCATCTTTTGAGAATTAGGCTAAAACATCAGAATCCTTTTCATTCGAGAGACTATTACCATATTGTATGTTGCTAATGTCTTACTATGCGTAATATATCGATTAAACTTTACTGCATGCATGTACATGAACATCACACTTTATGTGAGGCCTGCAGATTGTTTCGGCTATCCACAGTCGATCGTAGGGGTGGTTGGTTCTGCTGTAGTAAGATGTGGCCACAATAAACATGATTTTTATCGTTATGTCATGATCGGGGCTGTGTACCTATCCTAAAGCGAGAAGACTATATTTAAGATTTAATAATTTAATTGATTATTTAAGTAATCGTTTAAATTACAATTTAAGTTATAATTTATTTATTGAATATTGTCACAAAACACTCTCTATATGTCTGTAGTGTCAGACCCGTTTCAGGAAAAAAAACCCAAAGCCCTTTCTGCGGCCTCCCCCCCCCCATGAATCGTTGCAAGTGGTTCTGCACACTGAGAATGGCAGAGTGGACGCTCATTATTCATGCCAGAAGCTGTGGGCTGCTCCAGTCATGGCCCCAGCTGGGGGATCATGTGACATTGTCACCTTCGTCCCGCTTAGCTGCTCTTCTAACAGAATAGAATACCCTGCATTTTCGGGGCCTTACCGTCTCTCTTAGCAGAGCCCATCCGCTGGTCCACTTGCTGTACCCGCTTGTCCTATGCAGGGCTGCGGGGAGCTTATAGATGACTGAGACTGAAGTGGCAGGTGTAGCATGAGTGAATGGTAAAATGAATATGCATATACTTATGCAACTAAACCAATAAATCTTGCAAAGTAATAGTACAGATCTCTGAGAATACCATCTACATAAACAACTGTGCTGTTTCCGTTTAGCTGTTTAAGTTCTTAAAGGTTACAGTCCTGCGGTTTGTGGAGATAAATGTCATTTTATCAACAAAATCAGTTTCAGGAGCAACTTCACAGGCAGAAGTTTGGGAGGGGAAACGCTGGACTGGGCACTTTAAGAAAAAAAAGAAGTGTTACATAGCTAAGAAAAAAAAGTTAAACTTAATCAATACAAGGTTTACGCTTAGCAACAGATGAAATCAACTGCAGCAGATACCAAGGTAATACACTTAACAGGGAAGAGTGGCAACTATAGGATTTCCACAACTAAAGGTAATTTTATTTGCCTCCTCTCTGCGTCTCCCTGCCTTGCATGGCTGTCTCATGGAGTGCATGATGAGGGGTGGGGGTGTGGACTGTCGGGCTGTCCTCCCCTGTGCTGAGGTGCCCCAGAGCGGGGAGGGGGGCGTACAGCCGGCCTGCCGGGAGCGGATTTACTGTAACTCCTCACTCTCTCCACATCCCTGGAGAGTCATTTTAATTTGGCAGAAATGCTGACACTGTGGAAGGCATTTTGACTCAAGTGGCTTTGCTTCCTGCACTAATGCGTGTCATCAGCGGCATGTAGAGTGAGTACTTCATCGTGATGGGGGACAGTGAGAGTCAGGCGCATGGACCAGTGGATGGTGGGAGTCAGGCACAGGGATGGGGGGACGATGAGAGTCAGGCACGGGAACGGGGGGGACGGTGAGAGTCAGGCACGGGGACGGGGGTGTCCTGGAGTTAATTATTGCTTCATTGAACATGATGCACTGAAGACTCTTAAACACTTAATCAAATGTGAATAGTAACATTTAGATTGACATTTGACATTATATTATTATTATTATGGGTTTGTATCCATGTCCCACATGGACAGCTGGACTCTCACTGCCACTTTCACTGTCCCCCTGTTCATGTCCCTGACTCTCACTGTCCCCCTGTTCATGTCCCTG